CGCACCTACAACAAATTGGTCCAGAGATTTACATGGCCTCACATGAAGAAAGATGTCAGTCAGTACGTTCGTTCCTGTCATGTGTGTCAAGTACACAAAGTCAAGTATAAACAGCCTACAGATGCTATGATACTACCTTGCCACTCGAACGTGCCTTTCGAATTAGTTCACCTAGATTTCGCCGAACTGAATAAGAAACGGGAAGGAGCCAAGAAAACGCCAGCTTTTCTGGCCATAGATGAATACACGAGGATGATCGCGGCGCGAGCTGGAAAAGAAGATGCAAATAGCGTAATAACACCCCTGGAAAGAGACATGTTTAAGACTACGTGGTCAATCATATGTGATATCGGCCCTGCGTTCAAGAGAGAAAAGCTAGCAAGATGGGCTCGTGATCACAATATATCGATCAAGTTCTGTGCTCCATACTATCCCACAGAGAATGTGCTGGCAGAACGTGCCATACGCGACGTGAAGCAGTACGTCAAGATGTACAATAGTTTCTTGGTGGATGGAAATGTTCTTTGGAAGCCGCCGTGAAACATCATAATTGATATTATACAAGTGGCTTTGGGTGCAGTCCACAGTATGCTTCTTCAGCAGAAACCCCTATTCTGCAGGCAGACCGTGAGTTGGGACTCTTGGAAAACATCAAGATTGTCAAGAAGAGGCAAGAAAAATCACACGAGGAGAGATATCGAAAATGAATGAAGAAGAATTTCGACAAGAGGCATCGAGCAGACGTGCCAGATATTCAAGTCACCAACCTCGTACTAAAGAAGAAAGGAATAAGAGATGACGGTGTCAAATTTTACGGTCCTTACTCTGTGAGCAAGACAGCCACCCGAAACGGATTTTTGACGACTGTCTGGTACACTGGTGAACGTGGATCAGATGAATCTGCTTCAATTGGAAATGTCTTCAAATATTGCTCCAGGAGGGGTAATTAAAAGAAACCGGAAAGGTTGAAGCGGAATGAGCCTTGGGACAAAAGAAGAAGACGCACGAGAGCCGGGGCAGGAAAGAAGAGAAGGATGAAATTAAAAAGAAAGCAGATTAAGATGGACGCCAGTTTTATACTGAAGCTATAATGCTGTCCCGTTCTTTTAAGTAAGAACACTACATTCATATGAAAGACATTGTTTATTTTATTTTATTTATTTAATACTGTGAGCCTTTCTCAGGGTGGGCGGGCAAATATACACAGTCGGGTACAAACCAGGCAATATCGCACATAGCGGAAGAAACAGAATCACAAGATGATGGTGAAAATAAAACTTGAACGATGAAAGCAATTGTACAAAATCATGGACAGGTCACAAAACATCGAGGTATCAGCAGGGGGTACAGTGATCAGTGTGTTCGGAAGCACTCACAAACATCAAAAAACAAAAGTTGCTTTTAGTCTTCATGAAACAGGCTTTCTACATTCCGAACAAATGAATCTGCAGAGGAAAGATTAACGCATTCACGTGGCAATTTGTTCCACTCTTCCACTGCTGACGGGAAGAATGAATATTTAAAAGTGTCACAGCGTGACATGAATGGTCTGATGCACTTATTGTGGTTGGTACGAAGGGAGTGATGGTTAGGCGGCTTTATATAGTTGTCTTTATCTATGCTTAAACCGTTGTGATACAAAAGAAAAATAAACTTTAAGGAAGAGAACGGTGACGGGCTGCAAGGGTCGGCAAGCATGCCCGCCTGCGCAGCTCAGTGACACTGTCATGCCTCGAATACTTAGAATATATAAAGCGAAGGGCCTTGCGTTGGTCGATTTCTAATTTGTTGGAAAGATATTTTTGGTGGGGGTTCCAAACAATGCTGGCGTACTCGAGGATCGGCCTTATGAGAGATTTATATGCTGTCAGTTTTACATTAGAAGGCGCCAATGCAAGTTTTCGACGCAGGAACCCTAACTGGCGATAGGCTTTTGTGTATGTGCTGCTTATATGTGCATCCCACTTCAGTTTACTTGTAAAGGTAACGCCCAAGTATTTAACAGCGTTGTTTCTTGCAATGTTTGTGCCGACCAAATTGTAACTAAAATGCTGGATTGTTTTTCTGCGAGTTATGCTAAGGCAAGCTGTTTCTGACACATTAATTTCCATTCCCCACTCAAGGCAGCAACATGCAATATTAGCTAGTGTGGTATTAAGTCTAAGCTGGTCATCAGTTGTGCGGATAGGGGTGTAGATCACGCAGTCATCAGCAAATAATCTCAATTTAACGTTAGGCTCAAGGCACATATAGATATCATTACCATTTATTAGGAACAAGATGGGTCCTAAAACGGAACTTTGTTGTACTCCGGAAAAACCTTCCAATGAATCAGAGGCTGTGTTGTTTACGGTTACATACTGGCTTCGATTTGATAGATACATTTTTATCCATGCTATTATGTTACTGTTAATACCAATAGACACAAGTTTGTCAATCAATTTACTGTGAGGCACCTTATCAAAAGCTTTGGCGAAGTCTATAAATATGGAGTCGGTTTGCAATTGTGAGTTAATAGTAGTTACGAAGTCATGCGTTATTTCGAATAGTTGAGTAACGGTAGACAGGTTTTTACGGAATCCGTGTTGGTTTGGGTGCAATAAGTTTTCATCTTCTAAATAAGTAATTATTGTCTTGTTGATTACATGTTCCAATTATTTACAGCAGCAGCTAGTTAGCGAGATAGGCATGAATGTTTCTATGGACAGCTTGCTCCCATCTTTATGAATTAGAATTACCTTTGCACACAACCAGTCTGCAGGTAAAGAAGCTGTTAGCAGGGATGCTTTAAAAATTGCTTCAAGGAAGGGACATAGTTGCTCTGCGTAGCGTCGAAGGAATACATTTGAAATATTGTCAGGACCACTGATTTCTTAACATCAATCTGCAACAGCAGGTTCAGAATACCTTCCGTAGTGACAACGACATCGGGCATTAAAAAAACATGCACCGGAGCAACAGGGCTGCTTGGTGCGCATGCGCGTGTAAATACCAACTGAAAATACCTATTGAAAGCATTGGAAACGGCCTGCGCGTACTTTACGATAGTACCCTCAATTTCTACTTCAGTTGTTGGGTTTTCAGGCCGTGCCAAGAAACGCCAAAATTTTGGCGTCTGATTCGTCATGAAGTGAGATAACGCATGTGAAAAAAAAGTTTGTCTTGCATTTCTAATTTCCGCCTTAAGCTGAGATGCAAGTTCCTTTAAGATAATTGGATTCCTCTTTTTCTTGCGCATTCTCTGTACCCTTCTTTTAAGGTGAATAATACGGCGATTGATCCATGGTGTTTTTCTTTGTGTGCGTTTTAGTTTCGTGGGGATAAAATTTTGTTCACAGTACGTAATTATTTTTTTCAGTTGAATCCACATACCATTATTACCCTCACATTCCTCTAGAGAAAAAGTCTCTAGTGCTGTGTCGAGGTAACCATAACACAAACATCATTGGCTCTGGTGTAGTCTTTCACGACTATCCGTGACTTTGTGTCATCGGGTTTGGTATTTAAGCATTGAAGGTTAAAAGTTATGATTAACATTTTGTGGTCAGATATTCCATTTTCTGCAGTGGCTTTACCGGATAGGTTATCGGAAATAAAAGCTAGGTCTAGTATGGAGCGAGTGTTTCCTTGAATGCGGGTTGGTTCCTGGACCAACTGGGACAATGAAAAATTGAACATTAAATTGTATATTAGCTCGCTGTTGGCGGTATTTCTAGTACTTGTTAAGTATTCCCAGTCAATAGCGAGACTGAAATCTCCAGTAAGTATTAATTTGGTACGGGGGGTAACCTTATCAACCAGATAGTCATGTACTTGTAAAAGGTAATCATCAGACGCAATTGGCTTTCTGTAGATGCCACCGATCAGTACTGGAGCATCGTGAGCAAATATTGTGCACCAAACGCTCTCGTGATTCGCGATACCATTTTCTCTACGATATTGCAAACCACGTTTTATTGCAATGGCGACCGCCCCCGCCATCGTCACGATCTGACCGAAGTAGGCAGTATGAAGAAGGAACAATTTCAAAATCTAGAATGTCTGGGTGCAGCCACGTTTCAGTTATCACGACAATATCAGGAGTGTACGAAAATAACAATTCTTCTAGCTTGTCAGTTTTGTCAACAATGCTACGGGCATTCAAACATACCAATGAAAACGGTGTGGAGGCTTGCGGGTGTCACGCGTTGCTTTTCGCGCGACCATCGTGACGTGCCCTTTTGAGGGAAACTCTTGCATTTTTTGCTTCATCCCATACGTACAAGTCGTCATCTATCTTTAGTTTATCGAATACAAGAGTGACCTTAGCACGATTGTCCCGATCTTCTTTTGCTGATTGCCATAGTTTTTTGCGCAGGTCCCGAACTCGTGCGGAAAAGTCTTTGGATATGGATATCGCTGTTCCCTTCAGTTTGCCGCAATTACGAAGGACTAACATTTTTTCAGAGAAATTGTACAGCTTAAGAATAACTGGCCGCTCTCGATTTTGTGTTTTCCTGCCAATTCGGTGGATGCGTTACAGATGTAACATTCACCTTGAGGATGTCCTTAAAAATGCCCTTAATAATACGCTGTTGTAAATCTGCATTTCGTTCGTTATCACCTTCTTCCACGCCATAGATTATTATGTTACTCCGGCGGCTCCTGTTTTCCAAGTCTTCTACCTTAACTGATAGCTCTCGCACCAGTTTATTTGTTTCTACGGTCATCACCTCATGCTCGGCGAGATTATTCTCGAATTGCTGTAGGCGAGCTAACTCTTTTTCTATGGCGGTTAATCTTTTCTGTACGTTGCCTACTATAGTTTCTACGCGTTTTAAGTTTTTGGAAAGAGCAGTGAGCGCTTTATTGGTCTTTGTTTGTTCCTTTAGAATTTTCTTGAGGAGCTGGCTGTTTAAGGTGGCTTCTGAACTAGACTCTGAGTCTGAGCGGGGTAGGGTTTAACTCCACTTCACCTGATGTTACCAGCAGTAGCCTAATAACAAGCAAACAATGACACAATGAAGAAAGCAGACTCTGTGGGCCTGGCAGCACTACTAAAGTGAGAAAATCGTCTCTAATAGAGCAGACAGAATAATTGTCACCCACCTGGACAAAAAAGTAGAAATTCATGAGCAACCGCCCGAAAACGGTGCTGCCAAGCCCACTGAAAGACTGCTGAAGATGGCTGCGGGTTTTATGCTGAAGCTCAAGCATGTCCGCTGACGTCACTCGGTTGACCACATGGTAGGGGAGGGGCACTTGAGGCGCTGCTTTCCATGATTTTTCTTCGTCGACGGGGCTGTCCGGCGCAGGCGCGACGATGTTTCCCTGCGGTGCGAAGAGTTCCGCCGGGCCAACGACGGAATCCACCCGCAGCAGGGCGATTTGGACGGAAAAGTAGAAATTCATGAGCAACCGCCCGAACACGGTGCTGCCAAGCCCGGGGAGCAGCTCAGGGAGCAGGGTGCTGTCCTGAAAGCCAGAAAAGTAAGAAACGGTTGTTTTACGATAGCGTTTATCAGTGCACTGCACCAATGCTACTAGCATGTTATAAGACATATGTACTTAATATGACTAAATATTTTGGTTAAGAGTATAAAACACACCTACTGCATTTGCGGAACTCTTCAGGAAAGCAGGATGTCTGACTTTATATCTATAACGCTGCATGACTTACCTGAAAATCCCCACACTGAACCGAGTCCTTGTAGCACCCCTCCGTTGGCAATAAAATGCAGATGATAACCGTATTCCCGTTTCAATTACTTTGTAGAGAGCACGAAATTCGCTCTCTGTGTTTCAGGTCATTGAGGTTTAGCTGAAGATTGCCCGCGTGAGTGTGTCCTGTCGCTTGAGTTACGTAGGCGAATAGCTGGTGCAAATATATATTTCAAAAAACAATTTTGGAAATAAAAAAATACTCTCTAGTAATTCCATCTATAGTTAGCTTGTCCAGGTATATTTAAATAAAATTTTGGGTATATTTATGGTCCGACCTCAAAGGCAAGTTTTTGATGCTAAATACGGAGGTTTTCCCGAAGTGACACTCACAATTTTTTCCGAGTATGTGCTGTCACAACAGTGCCTAAATTATTTTTAATTTGTAGCAAGTTGACAGGCCAGCAGCACATATTTTATTTGTGACCTTGGAATTCAACATGTTTCCGGAAAAAAAATCCCAAATCGGTCAAACTTTTTCAATACTGCTTGTGTGAGGAAGCCTCAAAGAATTGATATACCTAATAAGGTCATTATTTTAAAGTTAGATAACCTCATTAACTTGCCAGAAATGTCTTTTATTGAGTGCATTCCGAAGACTTCTTTTGAAAAAAATGTTGTTTGACACCTTTTACTTTACTTGGTGCCAAACAATAGGCTCTCAAAAATAGGGAGGAATACCTTTGGCAGCAAAAATAAAATACTAGGAGGAGTTTGGCACTTCGAGAAATACGTGTCAGTGTTATCAGCCATATATGTGATGGTCAAAAAAAAGTTGGATGATTTGGCATGTAATAACACATTAGAGATAACATCAACAGATCATTCAAGAAATATGTCCATTATTTTTAAAACAGAGGCATTTGCCTCTGTTTTAAACAGAGAACAGAGGCAAATGCAGAGGCAGAGAACAGAGAAACAGAGGCAAACAGAGAACAGAGCAAACATGTTGCCTCTGTTTAAACCAGAGAACAGAGGCATTTGCATGCTACATGCGGCGTTGCCTTCCTGTGGCAGAAGGCGAGTTCAGATAGGTACAAACTATAATTACAGCAATTATAATAAAAATAACACAATCATCTAATTACCCGTGGTAATAGCCAGTCGGCTCGAATGGGCGAATTGAACCTCTACCTACAAATAATCTATAGCCAGTTTAAAATTTAGAAAAAGTGGCCATTGTTAATCACCGCAGAGCGATGCTTTCTGCTCAATTTAGCTGGCGAAACAGAAACCGACGCAACAAACTGTGCATTTATCATTCACTTCGACAATGCCCTCCATGGCGACACTGTTTTTCTTCCATTGGGGGAGAAGTTTAAGTTAGCGTCGATAAGTGGGCACTGTGATGCGATGGTGATGCGACTGGTGCGCGTAATTGTGAATGATTGAAAAGTGCGCGAAATTAAAGGATGACCGAGTGCACGTGCTGGGTCGCCTGAACAACGACGACGCCGAGGACCGGTACACGTGAGAGCGTGGAGCGCAAGCATCCAAGACCATAAAGCAAACAAGGGCCAATGGCTGATCACCACGGAGTTTTGAAAGGCCAATCGGGACGAGACAAGTGTGCCCCAGAGGAAGCCAATCCTGAAGGGCAAAAGAGCTAGTAGTTCGAGGTGAACGAGGCAAGAGGAAGGTCACAGCTGGGAGCTGAAGACAGGCAGTCGGGTGGCAGACCTGAGCCTTCTGGACTTCACCCGGTCTGGACCTCCGGACAACGCCTTCCAAGGACGGCGAGCTGCCTCAACGGTCGAGACCAAGGCCTGCAGATTCCGGTGCGGGTGCAGCAACGGCAGTTCGGGTCACGGGCCTGAGCCTTGCAACCAGCCACCTCATCGGGCGAATCTGGGCCGCCACAGGCATCACCGAGCGAGTCCCGTTCCATCGTCGCCGCCAGCGAGCATCGGTACACGCCGTCGCCACCATTACAGCAGCAACGTTTTGGTGAGATCGAACTTGCTCTCTTCCCTGCACCGCCGAATCACCGCGTCAGAACTGCATCATGTAGCTGTGACTTTCCGTCGGCAGTTTCGGGACTTTAGATGTTTGTTTTCCTTCTAAATCCCGCTTTTAGCCAGCTACTCATTTCTTGTAGTTTGTGTTTGAGTTTTGCTCCAGTTCTGCAGTAAATGTTTAGGTGTTGTTTGTTAAGCAAACGGCTTTGTCCTTATTAGAAAAACTCTCCGGGGCTCAACCAGGAGAAACAAATCAGCAACAAGAACCTGCATCACAAACTGGCGTCCGCGACAGGACGAAGCCGTTGGTTTGACACCTTCATTTATTGACGCGGTTGACATCATGTCGAATATGCGAGAGCTAATGGCCTTGGCGGATCGCATGGGAATTGATGGGGCGGATTTTAAAGCATGGTACGAGGAGAAGGAGGCACGAGCACGAGAGGAACGGGCTGCGGAACGAGAAGCTCGAAAGGAACAGTTGGAACGGGAGACGCAGGCCAAGAAGGAGCAGCTTGAGCTCGAGACGCGCGAAAAAGAAAAACAGCTCGAACTGGAGACACGCGCAAAGAAGGAGCAGCTGGAATTAGAGAACCAAAACCTGCAACTGCGTCTTAGACTTGCCGAAGCTGAGAATAGCCGTGTAGAGACAAGAACTGTTGACTCAGCACCAGGCTCAGCACAAGAAAGGAGTGTTTCATGCAGCGTGAATCCTCATAAGTTGATACCGGGATTTAATGAAAGCCGGGACGACTTGGACGCCTATTTAAAAAGGTTCGAGAGAGTCGCCATCGGTCAAGAATGGCCTAGGGACAAATGGGCCACAGCTTTAAGTTTATGTTTGAGCGGAGAAGCCTTAAAGGTGTTTGGAAGACTTTCGCCGGAGGATTCACTCGATTATGATAAAGCCAAGTTGGCGTTGCTCCAGCGTTTCCGTTTTACGGCCGAAGGGTATCGGGAAAAGTTCCGACAAAGCAAGCCACAGGACGGCGAAACAGGCAAGCAGTACGCAACTAGGCTACTGAGTTTTTTCGATCGTTGGGTCGAAATGTCGAGGACCGGAAAAGAATATTCGGCTCTTCGTAACTTGATAGTTACAGAACAGTTCTTAAGAAACTGTCATCACCGTTTGGCACTTTTCCTGCGAGAAAAGAACTTCAACAAGCTAGAGGACATGGCCGAGGCCTCAGATAACTTTTTAGAAGCTCAGAGGCAAGTCAACCTGTTAGTTTTCCGAGAAAAAGTGGAATCTAAAAGCAATACGGAAAAAAGTGGTAGTTACTCGGAGAGAGGAGCAGTACGTTGTTTTGTATGTGGCAAAATGGGTCACAGGGCATCGGAGTGCCGATCAAGGTCAAAACAACCTTTCTGTGGATATTGTCAGAAGGCGGGGCATGATTCCAAAACTTGCTCAAAGAAGAACGGTTCAGCCAACAAGACGTCATGTCTTTTGTCGCCAGAGGAGCACTCAACGGAAGTGAAGCTTTCACCGGACAAAGAAGAGGACATGGCGGGCGCCGTGAATACTCACCCGAAGTTTGCCACACACAAAATGCCCGTGTTACAGGGCCGAATCTTTGGCCGAACCGTCTCAGTGTTGCGGGATACGGGTAGCAATACACTGGTGGTGCGTCGTTCTCTGATACCCGATGAAGCCCTCATAGGTACTACCGCTACGCTATTCTTAGCCGATGGCAGTAGCATCATCGTTCCTGAGGCGGAGGTGGAAATTCATTCACCTTATTTTTCTGGTACATCTATTGTCAAATGCATGACAAACCCACTCTACGACCTTATCGTCGGAAATGTACCAGGTTCACGTGAAGTCCATGACCCCGATACCAAGTGGGAGGAAAGGATTCCGGTAAAAACCTACCCCAACTATATAGCGAGTGGAAAAGGAGCAGATAGAGAGGATGGTACCCTGAAGTCTTCAGTGGTTGGTATCAAAATCCGAGAGCAACGGTCAATCTCATCTGAAATCGATGTACCCACCTTGAAGACGACCCGAAAGGATCTTAGTGCCGCTCAAAAACAGGACAAGACCCTAGATTCTTGCAGGAGTAAAGTAGGTCAAGGGCTACAGGGAGGATCAAAGTCCTATTCGTTCGAGATAGAAAAGGGGCTGCTATACCGCTATTATCACCTACCATCTGGTAAGGTGATTCAACAAGTAGTAGTGCCCCAAAGATTGCGCAGCCAAGTGCTTACTTTGGCGCACGAAACCCTGATGTCGGGGCATCAAGGAATAAAAAGAACGATTGATCGTGTTCTACAATCATTTTACTGGCCAGGAGTTCAAGAGGCAGTGAGGAGATACGTGCGCTCTTGTGACGCATGCCAACGAACCTACCCCAAGAGCAGAGTTGGTAAGGCACCACTAGGTCGAATGCCTTTGATAGACACCCCATTCGAAAGAGTGGCAGTGGACATTATCGGGCCTTTAAAGCCAATATCACACATGGGTAATCGATATATACTAACACTAGTGGACTTCGCTACTAGATACCCAGATGCAATAGCCCTGCCATCCATCGATTCAGCCACAGTAGCCGAGGCACTGGTAGAGATGTTTTCTCGAATCGGGTTCCCGCGTGAGGTACTTTGTGATCAGGCATCATGCTTTACATCGGAGCTAATGAGAGAGGTCAATGACTTGTTGGCGATCAAGCATCTCAGCTCCACACCCTATCATCCCATGTGTAATGGCTTAGTGGAGAGATTTAATGGCACACTAAAGCAAATGTTGCGTAAATTGTGCCAAGAGGAACCCAAGACATGGGACCGACTATTAGCCCCACTCCTGTTTGC